CTAATCACCGAATAATTGCCAGAGAAAAGCAAAGGGAAAACGGAGCCGTTTCGACACCAAGAAGTCGGTCTTTGTAAATTCTCGATCGATAGTTTACTCGGTTGTTCGTTCGTTCTCTCGACTACCCAGTCGCTCGTCCTTTCGTTCCATTAGTCATGGCCGAAGGATGCTTTCGACCGTTTTACGGAGAACACTCGAGGGCCTCTCTCTCTCCTTTTTATTCCTCGTCGTGGAAGCGATCGACGCGTCTGCGTTTCGTCGAATCGTTACCAGATACCTCTGCCTCGCATCATCTGGCCACGGTAATTTCACTCGAACTGTGATTACGTGAGCGTACGATCGATCGATCAGTGGCGAATTTTGTAACAGCGCGTTGCCTGAAATTGAAAATTGAAAATTTCCTGCCCGAGGGAATTGCAATTTTTCAGAGAGAGAGAGAGAGAGAGAGAGACAAGGCTTCACGCGTCAACTAGAAATTTTGTCGATTCATACGAAAAGAGAATGTGAAAAGTGAAGGCAAATTTCGACAAAATTGACGAATTTAATCGGGACCACTAATTCTAATTGCTGTTTACGACAGTTTAAAATGATAATATCTCGACAGTGAAAGCATAGTGATAGTGACATCCGGCCGACGAGATGATAAAGTTCGTGATGTGCAGTGAAGAGCCACGGCTGAACCAATAACGATGAAAAATTGTCGATAATTCAGACCGACGTAACCTGGTAAGAAAAGATCATCCCTCGATCCACTTGATCTCATTTCAAGGCGTGAAGTCTTTTTTACTTTGGTAGTAGGTCGTGAGTGTGTGTTCTCGAGGATGAGTTCACACCTCCCGAATGTGTGTGAGAAAATTTGGTGATGATATCCTTTTCTCTAAAAATTGCAAGGAAATTCAAACGCGCGTAAAGATATAAAAAGAAAATTTTCTCCTACAGGTGTGCCAATTAATCGAGAACTTGAGTTTTTAATATCGTCGCAAAATTTAATAGATTCGATATTCAGTAGAATTCATGAATTACGTAAAGTAAAAGATTTCAACGCTATTAAAAGCGAAACGAAATTAAATACGACAGAATGTCCGATATCTGAATCAATAGAGAGAGAGAGAGAGAGAGAGAGAGAGAGAGAGAGAGAGAGAG